TGGACGTGTGATATGTTCATACATGAGAAGAAGGGGACTGATGGGTTGTTTTTTACGTCAGTTGGGGTCCAAGAAGCGTAGGTGAAGGTTGTTGGGCTTGCTGTCTTCGCTGTGGAGATTGGGCAGGTCAAATAGACCTATTTGTGGTACATGGCGTTAGGTACATCCATGGAAAAGGAGCATAATGTGGTGAATAATGCCAAAGAAAGTGGGTTGTTGTTGAGTAGTGTTGGTGGCGCTAATCACCACTACCTGCCCCCATGATTTGAGTGACCACCACAACTGTGATGACTCCCTCGATACGAGCCTGTGTTACTCGAAGGATTATTGCAATATGGTCATATTTTGGAGAGAGACCATTGACTAAATGAGTAACTAGAGTTCTCTCGGGAACGGGATGATCGATGTTTGCAAGGCGATTAGAGATGGTGGCGATTCCTTCACAATACTCAGTAATCATTTGATCTCCAGGAGTCATAGAATGACATTCATTATCAAGTTCAATGGCACATGTATCTTTTTTATCAGGAAACAAGTTTTAAAGAGTAATCCAAACCGTGTGTGCAGTATCTCCTATATTAAAAATGGTATTGAGAAGCGATTTAATGAGGGTGGTGTACATCCACACTTTAACCACCGAATCAAGTATGTACAACGCTTCATCAATATCTGATGTGGGGGTGGGTTTTTAAAAAAGGTGATTAACAGCTCCAAATGCACGACAATGTGTGACAAACAACCCTCTCCACGCATCATAGTTAAGTGTACTAAGATCAACAACGAGAGGCATAAGAGTTTTAATGTTTATGACCCCGAAAGTTTTTTGATTGGCGGTGCGTGTAGAACTTCCAGATGCACAGGCATTGTGAGATCGAAGAGGAGTGAAGAGATTAAGAAGTGAGAGAGATGAGGGAGGACTGGCCGGTTAGGGTTGCCGACAATGGAACAAATCGAGAATTAGGGTGGATGAGGGAATGCCTCTGATACCATATTACAAATGATATTTTCACATGAATTCTGATTTGCATTGATACATAATATATATATATATATATATATATATATATATATATATATATATATATATATATATATATATATATATATATGTAAGACTTACAATGGGCTAATTTATCAAGACAAATACATACAATACAAATAGGACATATACAAGTAGACTAATATGGACCAGTCTTGCATTTTGCGCTTGTTCCCTAATTACAAGACATATGTTGTTAATCATGTTTTCTTTAGTTTCTCCTTCTCCTCTCAAGTTTGGGCTCATGTGTTGCTTTAGACTAAGGTAAATTTTGGTACTACTTGTAATTTTAGTGACTTGTGTTCTATTGTGGGTATCTTCTCGACGAACCGACCATAGTAGCTAAATCTTCATTTAAAAAGAGTAGATAATTAAGATCAGTATTTCATGCCCATCTGTCGTCACATGTACATCCACCTTATCAGAATGAGATATCCAAACCTTGAAACTTTTCCATCGTGATTTCTTCCAAAGTATGGTTGATTTCATTTGTAAGATAATTGTTCCATCCTCCAACCTTCCCTTCCCTAAATAAAGTGTCATTAGGGATACCCTTACGGAAATCCCCATTCTTAACGTCCTTTAAATTTTCAAAACTTCATAGCGTTACGATATCTTTCGACACACAATCAGCCACTTCCTCCTTCATGAAAGGAAAACCCAAGAACTCTGCCAAAACACTTCACTTTACTTGCATTATCTATTATCCTGTCCTCATATGTCAAAAATAGAACCTTTTTTGGATCTTCAGAACTAGCCTTATGGTAATCTTTCACATGATCCTAGTAAGGTCAATATCGCATAAAACCTTTAGCATACACATCAAGCATCTCACGGATGGTCATTTGGGTACGAGATTTATCTTTCAACTTATTGAAAAGTGAAACCAAGAGACAAAAATATCCTTAGGGTTCCTACACATGTAAATTAGTCTACAGCCAGAATCAAGAATGGATTTAGGCAACACTTTGTAACGTATATGGCTAGCCAAGAGACGTGGTGAATTTGCATGGACATATGTAGGACCGTTACTACCGATTTTAGTCTCAAGGACAGACACACATTTGTGGGGTTTATAGATGTTCAGAGGATGATTTGATGGTTTGATGTTTTTATACTTTGCTCAGTTCACGATAGCAAACACGAGGGCCTTAATCCATGTTGTACATCTATAAACCCCACAAATGTGTGTCTTTTCTTGAATGAGCTTGAAATCTAAAAAATATGTATTGGAAAAATAAAAAACGTGAATATTTTTATTCATAAAACAACTAAACAAGTTATAAATTTGATCATATTGGGTTAGTGAAACGAATTTGAGAGATTATTAAACTGAAGCCACAATATAAAGTAATAAAATAATTAGATCACAAATATATTGTAAATCTTATTTATATTTAACAAATATATATATATATATATATATATATATATATATAATATATATATATATATATATATATATATATATATATATATTGGGATACTTCAAATAAAAACAGTAACTAGTATGAAACATAAAAACATATTTTTATATTATTATTCTGCAATTAATTTTGTATCCACAACTTTATATCATTATTCAGCAATGAATAAATGAATAGTCACAGATTAAAACTAAAATTAGAATTACTACTAAAATTAATATACATAAATTTATAATAAAATAATAACATTCTGATGAATATATAAATAATCAAAATTTTGTACTCATATTAGAATTATTTCAATAATAAATAATAGTATAAACATATAGTTTTTATATTGTCATACTATTTACGGTTTTATTTGAACTTAAGTTTCTACATTTGCCTTATTAATAAGAGATTGACACCCGATGAGCATCATTGCTCATATTTAATTTTAACATTTTAAGCATATTTTATCAGTAAATGATAGAAGGACTAGGGTTATGGGTAAGAGTGATAAGACCCTTTTTTTTACTTTATAAACAATCACAATAACAAAAAAAAAAAGGGTTCAAATAAATTAACAAGAGAGCATGGCGATAGGTTAGAGAGAGAACTAAGGATGTGAGATAGTAAAAAGTTGTTCAAATAAGAGGAGAGAGTTCGAGACATGAGACCTAGAGAAGGCGTTCAGTAGTGGCCCACCTGACTTATTAGGCGGCGGAGAATGGGGGTGGGGTCTCCGGTGGTGAATGTCGGCCCGACTTTACTTCTAAGACAACATGGAGTGGATGTTTCCAACACTAGTGATCTGCGTAACTTCTATTCTTAGTTTTTGACCTTTTTAGGCTTTCCTCAAGTCGGTGTTCACACAGTGCATACTACACTGTGTGAAAATCGGTGATTAAGGATGCCTACATACTGACTTGGACAAGCTCGACCTTTTCAGTCCAACACTAGTGATCTGCGGAAGTTTTTGTGATTTTTATTTTGCCCGGAACTTCTTTTCTTAGTTTTTTAATTTTTAAATTTAAAGATTCTTAAATATGTTCGTTATGGGATAAAGTCTCATAGTGGTTATGGTTTGTTAGGATTTGATTTTTGTAATCTCGATTACCAATTTGTATGGGATTGTTTTGGAGAGTTTTTTACATAAAGATAGTCGTTAGAAAAGTATTTAACATATAGATGTAGTTTTATATTTATTTACCACAGCATGGTAGTTTAGATAAATATAGTTTTTTAATTAATTCATTTACGTATTTCTTTTCTTTGTCCAGAGATGACGTTGCAAAGTTGGTCCATAACCAAGCATCCACCATTCCACCCTTGATAGATATCATTTCTCCATTAATTACTTTTATAACTAGTAACACAGGTTTTTTTACCTAATCGCTCAAAGTCACCATCAATGTCACTTTCAAATGAATTTAGGTTTCTTCACTCTCGTGTCCATCTTCATGTTCATGGCATAGGGTAAGAGAAATAGGAGATGTCGATTCGATTGACATCACATAACGGTAGCAGATGATGTCAATTCCATTAACTAATTCTTCAATCTTCATTTTCGAGTCCGACTTGAACTGTTACACGATGGAGAGCATATAAGGTTGTGACTGAAACGGTTAACCTTGCCTTTCTGGGAAAACTAGTAACCTGGCCGGTTATGGGTTTTTTTTCCTCTGTCAGTCTCCGGCGAAGAGAGAAACGAGAAGAAAAGGCGTGATTGATTGGCCCACTTGTTCACAGAAAACCAATCATACATTCAACAAAATACTGCCATCCCCTTCGATAGATATACAACTCTCTCCTCCATTCATAATTCTTCGTGACGATGATTTGAGAAGCGACTGCAATATGCAGATTATGATTCTTTCTCTTATTAAATATAACACAAATTGATCCGACCGGGTGTGGAGGAAAACTAGGGGAGAAACATAGGAAAAAAGTTGAAAAAGAGGAAGTAGATCGAAGCAAATACTAGAACATAAACGCCAACCATTTTCTCTGGTGCTTCCTCTGGTTGGTTTAAAGACGAAAATGCACCACCGATCATGGATGATGAATTGGGACTGCTGCATCGATTGCTACTCCAGCAAGAGATCTTAATTTTGACGAAACAAGAAACCTTTGTCTCATTTTTATTCCATCCTTCGCCATGAAACACCGACGTTGAAGAAGAAGCTGATTTGGATGTGGAAATTCATAGGTTTGAAGTTTTTACAGTATTTTAAGAGTGTTTGGATTATTAGTGTATATATGTATTGTATTGTATGTATGTAGCCCATTAGATTGTTATCCCACTTGTAGCTCATGTATTATGCTCTCTGTTTGGAATTATTGAGGATGTATCGTATAAACCTATTATAGGGAAATATGGTCTTCTACATGGCATCAGAGCAATCCGATCCTAACCCTATTTCTTTTCTATGATACTTCCTTCCTGCCGACACTATTCTCCCAGCGACAGCATCTTCTCCTGTTCTGATCCTTCTTCTTCTTCTTGGTATTTCTAGTTTGTATCTCTTGATTTCACATTACTACCCTCCATCATGTCAGGCGATGAAGGCTCTTCCTCAAATCAAAAACCATATGGCATGGTCAATATCAAGACTCATGTCCCCATTATTCTTGATTTCAATGAACTTAATTACGATGCTTGGAGGGAATTGTTTGAGACCCATTGTCGAGGATACCGTGTGCTAGGATTTCTCACAGGAACCTCAACACCCAAGTCTGATAAAGATGAAGAATGGTACACACTTGACTCTATTGTAAAATCATGGATCTATGCAACTCTTACTCAATCTCTACTCACATCCATAGTCAAGAAGAACTCCACCGCTCACTCCGTCTGGCAATCTCTTGAAGATCTAGTTCGTGAAAACAAGGATACACATGCTATTGAACTTGAAAACGTTCGGTTCACAACACAGTGTGACCTTTCTGTTGCTCAGTATCGTCAAAAAATGAAGGGCATTTCGGACCTCTTAGCTAATATCGACAATTCCATACCCGAAAATACCTTCGTTGCACATCTTTTGAATGGATTATCTCCACAGTATGACAACATATACATGCTCCTTCGCCACAAAGATCCATTACCCACTTATAATCAAACACGTTCCAAACTCATTGTTGAAGAAACCCGACTCAAAACAAATTGTCCTACTCAAGCATCCCACTCGGATCACTCATCATCTTCTACTGTGCTCTATGCGGGACACAATCAGCGAGCCCCATCGCACTCCAACCGTGGCGGTCGTCGCCCCAACCAGCCACGCCGAGGATGTAGCAATTCCGATCAGCGCCGCCAACAAACTTCTAGGTCTGGCCATCAGCATCACGAACAGGCCCTTCCTTGGTATCAATTTCCCATGCCTTGGCAGCCCTTTCCATGGCCTTACACACCATATTGGCCCCACTTCAGACCTGCTCCAGGAAACCCACACCAGTGTTGGTCCACTGGACAAGCCCAACAACATTAGTCCAACATTCTTGGAGCCCCACCAGCTCGACCGCAACAACCCCATGTTGCTTTTCATGCGACTACCACTCCTCAACTTCAGCCCCCAATGGCAGTGGTTCCCCCCGATGTCACAAGATCAGGCCACAGATTTAACTTAACAACTCAACTCTATGACTGTTAATGATAACACAGATGCAAATTGGTAGATGGATACGGGCGCGACCTCTCACCTTGCATCCGACACAGGTATACTCTCGTCTTTTAGAAATAAAAGTAACATTAAATTTGTTCTTGCTGGCAATGGTTCAACTATTCCCGTTACCCATACCGGTCAATCAAAAATTATTACTACTCATCACCCTTTACATCTTCATAATGTGCTTGTCACACCTAGTATTATAAAAAATCTTATATTTGTGCGTCGTTTCACAACTGATAATCATGTTTCTATTGAATTTGATCCTTTTGGTTTTACTGTCAAGGATTTGGCAACTCTTCAGGTCCTACTTAGGTGTGATAGCACTGGCGATCTATATCCCGCACCGTCTACTTTTCAGCCTTCCATTTCTCTTCTTACCGGTAGCTCGAGCTTGTGGCATTAGCGTCGTGGTCATCCAGGCGCTCAAGTTTTCAATTATTTAGTTTCAAATCATTTTATTTCATGTAATAAACCATCTAGTTCCTTTTATTGTCCCGCTTGTCAATTTAGGAAACATTTTAAGCTACCATTTTATACTTCTAATTCCGTTGTTTCTGGTTGCTTTGATATTATTTACTCTAATTTGTGGCAATCACCTATTACTAGCTCTCGTGGTTTAAAATACTATTTGATTTTTCTTGACCACTTCTCTCATTTTCTTTGGGTATACCCCTTACGTAAAAAGTCAGATGTTTTCGCAAAATTTCAACATTTTCGAGCCCACATCAAAACTCAGTTTCAAACTGAAATTAAGCAGTTCCAATGCGACCGCGGGGGTGCATTTGACAGCAAAAATTTTCACAACCTGTTTGACCAAAATGATATCCCATTTCATTTCTCTTTTCCATGTACTTCTCAACAAAACGGGAAGTTGGAACGCATGATCCGCACCATCAATAATGTCATCCGTACTCTTCTTTTCCAATCCCACCTCCCACTTACCTTTTGGGTTAAAGCTATTCACATGGCAATCCACCTTCTCCACATCATTCCCTTATCTTCAATAAACAATGACACCCCCTTCACAAAACTATATAACAAACCTCCTATCTTTACTCATCTTCAAGTCTTTGGATGCCTATGCTACCCAAACATACCCACACCCCATAAACTTGCACCACGCTCTACACCTTGCATATTCATTGGCTATCCAACCCAACATCGTGGTTTCGTTGTTTTGATCTTGCCACACGCAAAATAATCATATTGTGACATCCCTATTTTTCACGGCCAGAAAAGACCGATTTGTTTATGCTTTATTTTGAAAATCAGAGTAACCTTTTAAAGAAAAGTTTTGCGGAATTTGTTCCTAGAAAAACATGATAAATACGTTATCAAGCATTTCCGAAGAAATGTATTTTATTCATTTTTAAAACATTGGGATGCCATTGTTATTACAGAAACATAAGCATAAACAGAACTTACATTCATTATCACTAGTGATTTACATCTCCTTAATCTCTCAGTGTAATGTAACTTCATATCGACACCTGTGATACAAATAAACTAAGTGGGTCAGGTTGGGAAACCTGGTGAGTAGATAGGGTTTTCAACCCACAAGAATATAATTATTATGTTCAATATCAAACAATCAACCCAATTACTCATCCCCATTATCTTCTTTACTTTTAAGGATCTTCCCTAAGATTTAGCTATTCCTCGTTCATTCATTCCTAAGGAGTATCCTAAGGAATCGACACTAAGTCTGCATAGTCGCTAGGGTTTATCTCGTTTATTGACAGTATCGTTTTCGAGAGTCCACTCGTAATACATGTCAATGGGTTTTTTTTAGAGTACACCGGTTGAACACATCGTTCACAACACCTACAGGTTGCGAGCCTGCTAGTGTTCCACTAGACTGTCTAGAATAGTCTGTGGTTGTCATCCATACTCTGCTAGATGACGGGGCCATCGCTTGGGTCATCATTTGGCTCATCGTTTGGCTCATCGTTTTGGCTCATCGTTTTGGCTCATCGCTTTGGCTCATCATTTTGGCTCATCGCTTCGGCTCATCGCTTAGGTCATCACTTAGGTCATCGCTTCGCACCATATTTTATCACTCATATATCATCGCTCATCATTCATCTCATCTTTCATCGCTCATCATTTATCTCATCTTTTATCGCTCATCATTTATCTCACTTCTAATCTACCCATGTTTTACCTAACACATTTTGTAGATATAAAATACATATACAGTTTAGATCATTTAAAACATATATAAAACGTTTCATCCATCATAAACAGCAAGTATTAAGACAGTATACACACATAGCACGTAATTTATATAAAATACTTCATATATATGTGTAAGATGAAAGTAACTATGCACTCACCTATAAAGGTGGTGACTCGGCACTCGGGCAACACTTCGTTACTCTTAAAACAATTTTCCTTTGACAAAACCTAGTATCGTTACCACTAGAGTTTAGTCTAATGTTCAACGAGACTAATTAATAGTCTTGCTATTATTACTATTATATAAGCGTTAAAACAATACTCTTCACCCACTATGTACAGACAGGGGCCATACATGAAACACCAGAGGGCAGGATCATTTTGGCATATAACACTTCTGAAATCCAAAAACCCAGGCGGCCCTTCAAACCGGATTCCCCGTACTGTGAGTGGTTAAAAAGATATTATAATGACACTTATATAACCCATAATAATAGCTCAAATAATTATTATAAGGTCCTAATAACGTTACTATATTTAAATAAAAGCTATATTAAAATTTAGGTAGGCGTATCTTACCTACGAGGGGGTTATAGAAGCCGGGCTCTGCAGGGGCAGGACTTCCGAGCCGAAATCTCTTCTTCTCGGAATCGTCGAGCGCTCCAGGCTTTCTTCTAGCGCTAAGGGAGGTTTTGGGAGGTTTAGAGAGAGTGTAGAGAGAAGAAAGAATGGGAAAGGTGTGAAGAAAATGAGGGTGAGAGAGGTTCTATTTATAGGGTGAAATATGGCTGAACTTGGTGCCACATGTCACCATCTGGTGGCAAGACTTGGGAGAAAGCAATGGCCAAGATTGTGCCACATCACCCATTTTCGCACAGCACACTTCCGACTTCTAAAATCAGTAACTTTCGCATACGAGCTCCGTTTTTTACATTCTTTATATCCACGCATAGGTAAAAATAAGATCTACAACTTTACTTTTGACTCTGTCGGCTATTTCTCGACCGATCTTAAATTTAACAGTAGAAGGTGACTACACTATTAAATGTCCGTGTAAAATTCATTACTTCTACATACGGACTCCGTTTTCGTCTGTCTTTTTATCGTTGAGTTCCTATTAATGATATATTAAAATTCTCATTTAGGTCGCGTTGGCCACAAACCGCTCGATCTAAAATTCGAGTTTCGGGCCGTGCACTGCTAGGCGAAATCTTAGAAAAATCATAACTTCCTCATACGAAGTCAGATTTGGGCGTTCTTTTTATGCACGCTCTCGGTTTAACGTCTACTACAACTTTTTATTAGATCACTAAGGCAAAAAGTCCTCTATCGTAAATGCACTACGCGTTGTGTCGTGCCGGTTTTGTCGCGAAACTTCGACGGGCCATAACTTCTTCGTTATAACTCAGATTTCGGCATTCTTTTTATGTACGGAACCCTTGTGACATATTCTACAACTTGGTTAAGATTACTTCTTCTAAATAATCTTCCATCAATAACTCATTTTTGATGCTCATTGTCTCTAAATTGACTAGCCCGGATCTACGGGAGTTACAATTATCTCCTCCTTAGGATGATTACGTCCCGGAATCATCAACGAAACAGGGCCTGTATAATGACTCCCTACGTTAACTCTTCATCCTAGGTAATAACCGTAACTTCTATGTTGCTTCGAATGCGTATCTAACTCCTTGTCTTCTTTACTGCAAGCGGTGCTTGATCTTGCACCTGTTCTCTATGTCTTGTTACACTTTCAGTCATGACCTTCATGTCACAAACTCGCTCTTTATCAGAGACTCATTCTTCTTATTAACAAACTTAAGATAAGTTTATTTCATTTCCACAATAGACCGATGGGTCACGTTCTAATGAACTCTCATCGTATGTTGCAACGCTCAGACTCATGTCTCTTAGAGTCAAATTCCGGAATGGAATATACTTTCCTTCATGTTCTAATGTGATATAATCACATTTTAACATGTAGCATTTCTAGCTACCAACTTCTTTAACTAGTGCGATACTTCTATTGACCGCTTCGATTGTCTTTCACTTCAATCTTCTGGCTTAAGTTAGATGCTACATCGAACTTGTTTCTCTGAACCATGTATCATACTCATCTTAGTCGGACTCAATTTGATATTACCACTAGGGTCGAAACAACAATCATCTTCTTAATCATTATGAAACGATGGTAACGACATACTTGAATAAAACGAAATCAATTACTAGCTTCTTGGTAACCTTGTGACTTTCTCTGATCCAAATATGAGTCCTGTGCTTCCGGTAGTATAGGCCTCTACTACCATTCACACCTACTCATACTTGTCCCAAGTATGGTCTCGCAGTTTTCCAAGTCCCCATACAAGAAAATCACATAACAACTTAACACATCAGATAGCAAAATGAATGTTTTATATTATTCCTTGAAACGATTACATAGGTGTTCAAGTTCACCCTAGACTATGCCTCTAATAGGCTACATTATACGATACTATGGCTACTGCATAACTCGATCTTCGGATATAAAGTCCTCATCTTTGATTCCTCGCGTTGTTATCTGCTTCGTCGAGGATCATGTGAAATGCCCTTGTCTTTGGCGGTGCATTTGGCCTTGCTGCTTCATTTTTCTTTGGGCAGTATCT